CGTCAACGTTCTTTAAGAAATAGTATATGTAACTAAATACTTAAAAAGGTGAAAACTTAAGAACTGAGAAACATTATTCTATAATGCCTGTTCTATAATGCCTCACAGGCCACTAGTTATATACTAATAATTTTCATATGTGAAAGAGCCAGAACTGTGTATATAAATAGGCATCTTCATCCCCAACTTCTTCACCAATCAATCACCACAAAACAACGATCATGTTTATCATCTATATATTTGTTTTTCTTTCCTCAGCCATTATAGGTAACTAAGCTTTCCTTATCCACATTTTTTCTTTACATAATTAATGTTTAATACTAAGGACATAGTTGCAACTTTCTTTCTTCCATTTTAACTCATTTGAAGCTTGCCTGAAAAAATAAACAAAATCTCACCATAAATTAATGAGTAAAAAGGTTATATATATAAACTATAAAGATATAAGTCATATAACACCATAGTACACAAAGTTTCTGCAATGTGTATGAATTAAAAATTAATTTCTTTTTCATTTTTTTGCTACACCAAATTTAGGCTTGATATAATTATGCAAGTTTTTTCTGTTGTTTTGAACACAATTGATGGTGGCGTAGAAAATAAATATTTTGTTTCCAGTCATATAGTCGCAACCGAAAGTAATGACTATGAGTTCCTTTGGCATTTTTTTTGGGACCACTTTCTTTGCTCTCCAAGGTTTTGTAATTAATAACTCTTGTTCTTTTTGATGATATATATTCACATCTTCTATATAAAAAAATGGAATACCCTAATTCAATTTTATGTTGAAAGATTCAAATGGGTTTGCAAAGGCCCAAAAGCTGGAAGAAATTGGTGGGAAAGGGGGGAAACAGTGGGATGATGGAGCCGACCATGACAATGTAGCAAAAGTTTATATACGAGGTGGTCTTGAAGGCATACAATACATCAAATTTGATTACGTCAAAGATGGACAATCTATAGATGGATCCATCCATGGTGTTTCGGGTAGCGGTTTCACACAGACGGTATGTTTTATATATAAATTTCAACTCTAGTGACCAATAAAACTCAAAATTGGATCTTATCATTTCGTGGATCCCCATATTACTACAAAATTCCTATTAATGTAATCACTATTTTTTTTTTTGCAGTTTGAGATTGATTATCTAAATAGTGAATATATTGTATCTCTTGATGGCTACTACGACAAAACCAGTGTGATGCAAGCACTTGAATTCAAAACCAATCTCAAGACTTCTGAAGTGATTGGGTATACAAAGGGTACCACAAAATTTTCACTTGGTGGAGTCAATGGCAAGATGATGATTGGCTTCCATGGATCCGCTGGGAAAGCCCTAAACTCCATTGGAGCATATTTAACAGCAGCTCCTCCTACTAAGTCAGAACTCGTAGGTGGTCTAACCGGAGGCGAACCTTGGGATGATGGTCCTAATTATGATGGAGTAAAAAAGGTATCTGTTACTTACATTAGCACTCTTATAAGGAGTATCAATGTGGACTATGAAAAGGACGGCCAAGTTGTAACACGTTACCATGGGATGAAGAATGGGGATACAGAGGAGGTATTAAATTCTTATCAACTCTTAAGCATAACTTTTTTAGACTCATTTGGTCCACAAATATACTTAAATTGCTTATTTTAATATATAACACAAATTTATTTTTATATATATATCCTAACCAATTAGACGAATTAGGCGTTTATTTTAAGAAATTCTAAAGTTGATATGATTCATTTCAAAATTAAATGACAATAAGTCAAGCAGTCTTTGTACACAAATATATATAAACCTTAAATGTTATATTAGATTTTCATTTTTATTTTTATTTCAATCTAGGTTTAATAACATTGTTTTCTATATTGCAGTTTGTGGTAGACTATCCAAATGAATATTTGACATCAGTGGAGGGTACCTACAACACACTCCCTGATGATAACGTTTTGGTCATTAGATCGTTGATCTTCAAAACATCAAAAGGGAGAATCTCTCCCACATATGGGTTTGTGTCAGGTACCAAGTTTGTGTTGGAGAGCCAAGGTAATGCTATTGTTGGATTTCATGGGCGGGATGGTGGTGCTTTCGACGCTATCGGGGTGTATTTCTCTCCGATTCCTTCATAATTCAAAACTATAAAGGCTATAAACCATAGAGTTTAATGGAAATGACTTCACTCGTTCCACCATGTTGCCTTAAGGCTCTCGTATCTTCAATTAATGTTTTACTACGTACTCCAGATGTTTCTTAAATTAGTAACTGATTCCGAGTTTGCAATCTCTTGTAATAAAACAAGGTTTAATTTTTAAACCTCTATTTCAGTATTTCAAAATAATAAAAAAAACTACAGTTATATTTCTCTTTGTAGCAAATGCAAACAAAACTTTCAATTTTTTTAAGCTCCAATGAAACTGGCACCTTTTCGGCAGCATTTTTAACGTGATATTTCTCTTTGTATTATGGACCAATGTGGTCACATCACATGATCCCGTCTAACTTTTTTCTTCCTTTTTAAGTATTTAATGTAAGCTCATTAGAATATTTCTAGTCCACCATGTAAAAATTTATGTTAACTTTTACTAGATTCAGGTTAAAAAGTTTTAAGATTCGCTCCGGAGATACATAAAAATGTGGATCCAGATATGAATATATATCTTCTTCTACGAAATAGACTTTCCTTAATGCATGATGCTTAGTGTTGTTGACTTTGTTCCTTTTTGAATTATATGTTGTTAGATTTAAGAAAGAGTTGAGACCTTTGGTTGGTTTCTTCTCTCTTATTTTTTCTCTTTTTGGCCAATGGTTGTTGTCAGTGTTTCTGCATGTGTTTTGTTTATTAAGTTGACTCGCAATGACTGTAAAACTTATATTTAAATCATTAATACACGTTAAGAAAGATCACACACCAGAAGAAAAATGAGAACTAAAAGAATCTCTAAAGGTATGTATCCATCAATCTACTTTTCTTTTTGGCCAAAATATCCATCAATCTCCTAATAATTGGTTTTGAGTTAGAAGTTTATGAACTTGAATATATAATAAAAATAACTCCAAAGAAAGAGAAATATACGGTAACTAATTAATATTAAATATGCAATTAGATTTAGTTTGAGGTGGACCAAAAAACAATCATCATCAAGAGGGACTTTGAATTCCTCATATGAGATCTGAGGAAAACTAAATCAGTATAAAGTTAAAAAAGAGAAGAAGAGAGAAACTCAAAGAATATATGAGAAACAACATGAACTACTTTATTTATTATCTAAACTGAAGAACTTTAAACTAATATACATATATAATGAAATGTCATCTTTAAAATAAAGAGAAATTGTTAAAAATGCCCCTTTTTCAATACCCCTTTTCAAAAATGCCCCCTTTGAGAGTCCATTTTTAAGTTTGCCCTCTTTTAATTTTTAATGACCATTTTACCCTTATTTGAAACAAAATTAGGTCCACAAAATACAAAATATTTTTTGGCGGAAAAAGTGATCCCGCAATTTTCCCGCCAAAACACTTGTAAAAACCTTTAAAATACCTTGTAAAATTTTCCCGTAAAAATTTTTCCCGCCAAAAAATTATTTTTGCGGGAAAAGTGATTCCGCAATTTTTTTGGCGGGAAAATTTTTGGCGGGAAAAATTTACAAGGTATTTTAAAGGTTTTACAGAGTATTTACAAGTGTTTTTGTAAGGTTTTACAATGTATTTTAAAAAATTTTACAAGGTACTTATAAGGTTTTATAACGTATTTATAACTTGTAAAACCTTATAAAAAACTTGTAAAACCTTATAACTTGTAAAACCTTATAAAATAGCTTGTAAAATCTTATAAATACCTTATAAATACGTTGTAAAACCTTTTAAAATACATTGTAAAACCTTATAAATACCCTGTAAAAAACCTTTAAAATACCTTGTAAATTTTTAGCGGGAAAATTTAACGCCAAAAAAATTGCGGAATCACTTTTCCCGCAAAAAAAAATTTTTGGCGGGAAAATTTTTTGGCGGGAAAAAATTTTACGGGAAAATTTTATAAGGTATTTTAAAGGTTTTACAAGTTTTTACAAGTGTTTTGGCGGGAAAAATTGCGGGATCAATTTTCCCGCCAAAAAATATTTTGTATTTTGTGGACCTAATTTTGTTATATTTCTTTATATATTTGTGATATATTTTATTAAAAGAAGGGTAATTTAGTCATTTTGTACATAAAAAGGGGTATTTTTAAAAATGGACAGCCAAAAGGGGCATTTTTGAAAAGGGGCATTTTTGTGAGTCTCCCTTTTAAAATAAATCTAATTCTTAGATTTAATAAAACAGCCCTTTAAAAAAGTGAGAAAAAAACATATAAATATCATACTCCCTCCGTTTCAGTTTAGTTGTCGTTTTAGGATTTAAATTTTGTTTCATAATAGTTGTCGTTTTAGGTTTTCAATGCAAATGTTTAGTGAAAATTCCAGTTTTATCCCTACTGTTTTAATGTTTTGGCCAATGAAATTTTTTATAAAATATATTAATAAAGGATAAATTAGAAAATTTAATGATTTCCTTAATTTGTGTGAAAAAACCTTAAACGACAACTAAAACGAAACGGAGGGAGTAGTTAAAAGAACAATCGATAACAACTCGAAAATTTAACAACAGTCAACATCCATACAGTCCAACAAGAATAACCTAATTCGATTCCATAGTCAAAATATATATATATATATATATAACCTGTTGTTATTGTATTATAGTTTGAGTTTACTGAATGGGATGGTTATTAAAATGGCATAACCTGTCTAAATAAATATATAACATGTTATGTATGTTGTAAACTTTAAACACATAACAAAAGATTCTTTAATAAACAAACAAGAAGTCAACATAAATCTTGAGATAAGAAACGTCAAATCTTACAATCAAATATTCAACACATGATTTCTTTTTGGTGCGAATATTCAACACATGATTAGAAAGCGGGAAAAGTGAGTATATATATATATTTTTTTAACGGATAAATGAGGGATGCAATACGAAGATTTTTCGGTAGGTCACCCATAACTTATTTTACTACTACTCTCGTCCAAACACGCTTAACTGTGGAGTTCTGATGGGATCTGGTGCATTAGTGTTGGTATGATTGCATCTTATATATTGTCAAAAGTCAAAATTCATAGTTGAATATATTCATCGACCAGATTTGAGAATGAATTAACTAAATAGTATAACTTGTTTAAATAAATATATAACATGCTATGTGTGCTGTAAACTTCAAACACAAAACAAAAGATTCTTTAATAAACAAACAAGAAGTCAACATCAATTTTGAGCTAAGAAACTTCAAATCTTACAATCTAATATTCAACACATGATTAGATAGCGGGAAAAAGCGAATAACTAAATATATATTGTCAAAAGTCAAAATCCATGGTTTGTTATATTCATCTACCAGATCTGAGAATGAATTAACTAAATACAAGTAGGCATTATATATTTCTTTCGTAAAGATAAATCGATTCAGATATAAGTTTTGGGGTTTAGGCGTATCTCGTGTAGGCATCTCCACATCACATTCGAAAACATAATTATCACTGGCACATGGTTCAAGTGATAAAATAGTACTGTTGATCCAAAAATAAAATATATATTCAACAAATATGAAATATCTAGACACAAATATATATAGCATATGTGTTTCCTTTACTATTATTCAACAAATATGATATCTCAAGATTACAGAAGTTTCAACCATTCTACCCGAAATGAAAGCAAAGAAATATACAACGACATATGCAGATTACAAATTTATTTCCTCTACTATTCAAGTTATGAACATAGGAAAGAGAAATAACACTCTAATATTGAAGTAATTTGATGGACATATATATCCATGCAATATCTCATAAGGTGTATGAGAGAAACTCATGTAGTAGCTCATGAACTAATTCATTTAACTCAGGAATTTTAGATATTGATAAACTTTCTTGTTCTTTTTAGATATTTACAAAATATACTCAAATTTAGGGTTACTTTTATCATCATATTTATTTAATACTAACTTATGAAAGCAAAGAAATACACTTTTATTGTCATGTGTCTCACATGAGACAGCCGCTACGAAAAGGGCTTACAAGCCTGGTTTGCATCTCGAAACTAGAACTCGAAAATACTCTGTTTCGTTAAACCAACCTCTGTTCTAGATTTTTATTTCCTCTCAAATTTGATTCTCAGTTTATTCAAAAACCGCTGATGTAAAACGTTATTTATTCTTTTGAATATAATTTAACATTTTATTCAAAAAAAAAAAATCCTTGCTTATGAACTGATTCATTTAACTCAAGATTTGAATGATCTCAATTTAAACATAAATATGACAAACGATATGAGCTCAGCTCACTCATTAACGGATTACTGGGCGAAAATATTTCTACATACATCATATTCTCTTACTCTTTTTTGATTTTTTAATCGTTTTCTGTAGTAAGAAAATGTGTTGCATGTTTCAAATTTTTGGCTTCAATATTCAAATAAATTCAGTCAATCTTGTGATCCTTGTTAAAAAATATTTCTCTGCATTTTTATATTTAGATTTTTGGAAACAAACAAAAATTCTTTGAGAAAGATGTGATTTTGAGTGAGAACACATCATTTTACAGAGAAAACATAGAATGATGGTTATATATATGTTCAATATTACACATATTAATTGCATTTTGTTCTATGTTTTCAAATTGAACGACATGTTAAATAGGTAAAAAGAACAAAGTAATGCCCCATTTCGTTTGTTATAAATTTTCTAAACTAAGGTCCCGTACGTATGTTAAAAGTAAAGTTTTTCATCGTGAACGTGAAGCATGTAGAAGCATAAGCATCTATCGTGAATTGAAGCGGCTTTTACATCATAATGTAGATTTAACTATTGTGGAATCATTCGTAAAACTGTTCACTGTGTTTCTATATGTATTAGGGTACCTCCATTGGTGAATAAAAAATAGAAGATAATACTATTAAGAGACGAAGATATGTAGTTGAAAACTTCTTATAATAGGAGTTTTAGTTTTATTGGTTTATATTTTATTTAAAGATTAAAATATACAATTCAAAAGTAATAAAATATCAATATTTAAATGTTTAGATACCCATGATGGTATCTTAACTGATAAAAATGCTCTTAGTAGACTAATCGAACATGGCTCCAAAAAAAAAGGAATTATAAAAGTTTTAAACATATTTATACATTAGGCCCTATAATATCTAAAACTTTTTTTTACCACATTAGGTATACCTTTAATAATGTTTTTGAAGAGTACCTACAAATAGTTTAAGATGGCTCTATATATATAAAGTTACGAATATATCATAATTTGTAATAGTCTTAAACATCAAAATACATTATAGCGATGATGAAGAAAATTAAAAAATGATTAGAAGAATAAACTTGAGAACTGAGAAACATTAATATTAGTATCCCTTATAGGCCACTAGTCAAATATACTATAGTAACTTGCATATCTGAAAGAGTCAGAACTGTGTATAAATATTTATCATCTTCTTCCTTAGCTTCTTCATTATTAACCACATCACAGCGATCATGTTTGTCATCTACATTTTCCTCTTGCTCTCCTCATCAGCCATTATAGGTAATTAAACTCTTCAATCTATTGTATCTATCGTACATTGTTTCCCAACTCTATCTTTCACCATAATTTTTAATAGTATTTATAGATGAGTAATGAGAAAAAAGTGTAGAAGATTTTATCTTCTTATCATTGATTTCACATAAAATCTTACTAATATTTAATTCTCCTCTTAGTTATTTTATTACAACTAAATTCAATAGCTTCCTGACGAAAATAAAATAAAACAAAATTCTCCAGTTTAAAATAAAATCCAGGAGCAAAAATTTACTAAATCTAATACTAATGAATCAATTAGAAGCTTGTGTGTGTGTTTGTTTGTTTGTTTGTTTTATTTTAACTGATGTGATACTTGCTATGAAACAATATATTTTAAAAATAATAATATAAAAACCAATAACTTCAATGTGTGAACTATGAAGATTCCAATGGGTTAGTCATGGCTCAAAAGTTGGAAGCAATTGGTGGAAAAGGTGGCAAGCAGTGGGATGATGGAGCAGACTATGACTATGTAACAAAGGTTTATATACGAGGTGGTCGTGAAGGAATTCACTACATCAAATTTGATTATGTCAAGGATGGACAAGCCATAGATGGATCATTCCATGGTGTTTTGGGTGACGGTTTTACACATACGGTATGTTTCATATTTTTTATGTGGATATATATAGAAGAAAAAAGTTATTTTAAGAGAAAATTACGATATAACTAACACAATGAGGAGCGACGAATCAAATTTACTAATTCATGAATATTTTCACATCACAAGCAAAATATCTTGTTTAACCAATTTTTTCTTAGTTTCTTTTATGAAAAGTTAGATCATTTCGAAAATACTTATGTAAGATTCCATGAGTTTAAAATATTTGTTAATAAATACCCATTGTTTTTTGTTTGCAGTTAGAGATTGACCAATCCAATTATGAACATATTGTATCTATTGATGGTTACTATGATGACAAGACCGGTGTGATGCAAGCACTTCAATTCAAAACCAACCTGAAGACTTTTGAATTGATTGGATATCCAAAGGGTGCTACTAAGTTTTCACTTGGAGTAAATGGCAAGATTATGATTGGCTTCCATGGATTTGCAGGGAAATCTCTAAACTCCCTTGGAGCATATGTAACAGCGGCTCCTCCTATTAAATCGGAACTCGTAGGTGGTTTATATGGCGGCATATATTGGGATGATGGTCCCAATTATGACGGTGTAAAAAAGATGTATGTTACTTATACTAACTACCTTATAAGAAGTATCAGCACCGACTATGACAAAGATGGTCAAGTGGTAACATCTTATCATGGAAGCAAAGATGGAGAGACAAAAGAGGTAATAAATCACTATACATATGTTAAGTTTCGTAGGTTCCTACTTCAAAACCAAATGAAAGTAAATAAAATGATTTGCTTTTCATATATTATTTCAAAATCCATAAAGCTGATAATTCTTATCAATCAATGCATCTAAAAACTAATTTTCATTGGTGAAGTTTTCTAACTTTTTCATACATATTTCAGTTTGCAATCGACTACCCAAATGAATATTTGACATCAGTGTCTGGTACCTACAACACAATTCCAGAGGATGGCGTTTTGGTCGTTAGGTCGTTGATTTTCAAAACATCGAAAGGGAGAATTTCTCCCACGTATGGATTTGTCTCTGGTACCGAATTTGTGTTTGAGAGACAAGGTTATGTTATCAATGGGTTTCATGGACGTGATGGTGGTGGTTTCGATGCTATAGGAGTTTATTTCAAACCGATGGTTACTTCATAACTCAGAATTATGAAGCTAATAAAATCTTAGGGTTCCATGGAAAATTAATCATGGTGCAATAATGATCTCGTATCTTTTATTTAAAAATTACTTTCCTTTACTTGTTGTCCGGGTCTCAGATGTTGTTAATTTGATGTTTTCTTTCCTTTCTGAAATCTCATGTAATAAAAAAAGGTTTGGTTATTCAAATCTTTTCTAATGTTTCTATAATAAAGAGCTATTGATTTGGATCTATTACATGAAATTAAACTATATGCAAAAAGAAATTGTAAAACTCTAACATTGCATGTGCATCATAATTAATTTCTCAATTCCTCAAAGTCAAATTGATAAACACCCCGATAAAATCATATAGATTACGTGTTTTAATTTAGGTGGGTACTTCAATTTCCAAGAGTGTTTTTGAAGCAGTCTGATATCAAGTCATATTCGTTTGCCTGTCGCTGGCGACTGAAACCATATTTGGTAAAGTTCCTAACCTAACGTCTTTGTACCCTAGTATAATTCAACTTATCGAACTATCCTTGGGCTCCATGAGTACATTAAGCATTTCTAAATTCCATGTTCATGTCACTGGTCACTTTCTAATTTGGATGAATAATTTGACATATACCCTTCGTTGACCTTAAACTATGGCTTTATTCTTTTCCGACGACTGAAAATTACACTTCCTCTCTTTTAGTTCGGTCGCTGGGATTTTGTGGTAAGAGAATTTCTTCTCCAGAATCTTTGT